CCTGAAGTAATTATGTTCTGTTTCTATCTTTACTTCACATTCACTTCTCACATGACACCTTTTCCCTGAGAGGTGACAAATGACCTATTCTTAAGTCCAGGAAACTTTACTTCTCTTTCCTGAAACTTTCTTTTCCATTGACTGCTAAGATTTTGTGTTCTTGTTCCCTTTTGGGCTTTTTTTTTAGAACTCTATGTCAGCATTTTCCTCTGCTTTTTTTTTCCTGTTCTTAAGTGTAGTAGTACCCTTAGATTCTGACTTTAGCTGTCTTTTCAGTTTTTAGTAAATTCCCGGGCTATATTATACTTTCTTAGTTTTAACTCTATTCTTCATATAAATAACTCCATATCTGTTTCTGAACCCGGGGACCCATAGTTTCAAGGCTGTGTTATCAATGCTTGTTTAAAAGTCGATGTGTTAAAATAGAACCCATTGGGCCTCTTCCTCCATCCCCTTTCTTTTCCTCTACAGTCTCGGCAGCTATGTCTACTTAGCCAACCGTAGGGAAACCTCAATAATGTTGCTCTCTCCCTTGGCCCAAATTCTGCAGGCCAGTTCCCTCTGGAAATGTCTGTCTTGAAGTGTCCTTACGCCCACCCTAGTTGAGGACTCTCAGAAGCTCTTATGCAGCTCAAATGTAATTTCTGATATTGCCAAGCATACTTATTCACTTCTTTAAATGTGCTATTTTATAATAGTTCCCATATTTTTAGTTGAATTGTTTATATATCTGGCTATTCTGCCCAAGTAGTGATGTCCTTGAGGAATGGTACCGTTTGAGTCCTCCTCATTATTGTGTCTGCAGCTTTTCACAGCAGCGAGTACTAAGTAGGTGCTTAATAGCTGTGTTTTTGTTGCACTTGATGAATTGTTTACTTGACTGTAGTCTCAGATCTTTTTAGTTGATTCTCCAATTGCTGCCAAAATTGTCTTTTTAAAATTATGCTAGAGTTTGGTTTTATTTATTTATTTTTAACCCCAAACTCCTTGATGGTCCAGTCTCTACAGAATAAAGGTCTAACTCATTATCACGACAGTTAACGTCCTAAATAAATCAGCCTCATCTTTTCCTTTAAGTCCTGTCATCGCCCTGAATACATTTCTTCAGCTTCCTACATTATGTATTTCCTGCATGTGTTTCCTTGCCATTGCTGGTCTCTTTTCTCTTTAGAATTAGTTTTTTCTACAAACATTTATTAATTACTTACATTGTACAGGTACTATGCTAGACTCTGTTAGAAACAAAGATGAATAAAAACTTGAGTAGCAATCTTTTCTGCTTTCCTTACTTTCATATTTTACATTCTCCAATTTTGAAAATCTCATCTTTTAAAGCTTAAGTGAGATATATTACCTTATTTGTGAAGTCTCCCCAAATAATCCCATTAAAAGTTAATCACACTTTGCCTTCAAAGCATTTTTTAATATCTGAATTACAAACTGTATCACAGCCCTCTTGCTTTTTATTTATGCATGTGTCTCCTTCATTGGGCTGGAGTTCCTTAAAGGACAGGGATTATGTCTTTATCACCATTGTATACCCTCTTTTTCTCTTCTCCATGCCCAGCATAGTAATTTTAAAATAATTGATGCTAACTGAATGAGTGCTGAATTGAAAAAGTAGTTCAAAGCTAAGGTTGAAATTGAGAAGGAGTATCTAGAGAGTTAGGAAGAAAATTAGGATAGAGTTCTATTAGCAAAGCCAAGGAATGTGATTCCAGAAAGAGAGGACAGTGCTAGTGATATTCTAAGCTCCAGAATAGGAACTAAGGGTGGAAACTGTAAATAGGTCAGTGGATTTGGGAATTATGTGGTTTTTGGTTATCTTAACAAAAATAAATTTCATAACGTAGTCGGGGTAAATATCAGATGGCAGCAGAAGGAGAAATAAATAGAATTCTTCCCCTTAAATGTAATTTTTTTAGCTGATAGTTTTATAGAAATTGGCTGGCAGACAAATTGAAGATTTATTACCTAAATAAAGATTTAGAATCCTGCATGTGTTATAGTGATTTGGGGAGGATCTATATCCTTTGTAAAGTAGATGAGTGGGTAGTAGGCTTAACAGTCTTTTAAGAAAATTTAGAAACCCAACCATTGTGGTGCAGTGGTTAAGTGTTCGGCTGCTAACCAAAAGATTGGCGGTTCAAATCCACCAGCCGCTCTTTGGAAACTCTACGGGGTGGTTCTACTCTGTCCTGTAGGGTCATTAGACTCGATGGCAATGGGTTTTTAACCACTGTTTATATCTCCTTAGAAGATTACTATAAATCTACATAGAGAGAGAGGGTCTATAATCAAAGTTAGTAATATTTTGTATAAAGTGTGGTAGAAATTATTTTCACTCAGAAATTTTCCTGAATGGTTTTACTGATTATTCATGCTTCCTCGTATGCCCTATCCTCATTTGGATGATAATGCATTAATAATATATATCTGTCTATATGAAATGAATGAATTTTGACAAATATTCCTGAGTAATTAAATAAATTTATTTGATTTTTGGTATACTGTAATTGATCATTTGTAAGACACATTTAACATTTTTGTAATCAGAATTACTTTTATAGTTGGTGATGTGTCAGTTTTAATTGATAACATTTTTTCTTCATATTATATAAATTAATGATACAGTCCCAATCAATGTAATTTTAGATTTAATAAAATATGAGAATTTTTTAGAGATCAGTTAAAGTTGAGAGACTATCTGCCATATATTTTATATGTAATGTTGAACCAATCTTTTTTTGGTAATAGTTAGATGATGCATTTTCTCTTTTTCTCTTTCTTTTACTGTGCCAGTGGGTCATGCAAAAAGTTTATTTGAAAACAATGATAGACTGTTAAGCATAAATTAAGTGGAGGGTGGAGGTGGGAAAGGGAAAGGAAGAATCTGTAGGACGCCTGTTTTATGTTACTTGAAATTATGATTTGGTGTGTCCAGAACAAATCTTGGTTTACTACGGTATCCTGGAGATATTACAGGAGCATTAAGAGTCAGTGATCCATGGAAGACACAGTTAAATTCTGATCTTGCAGTCAAGGGTACATACAGTGATCAACTCATTTCTTTAATCACATGTATTAAGTACTGACCATGGTGCCCAACAATGTACTCAGCACTTTAAACAATCTTTCATTGTTCCTGGCAGATTTCTTCATAGAGTGAAATAGTACAACAAAGGTCAATAGCCAAATCATAGTGCAGAAACCTGTTCCTTTGCCCATGTACATTGTTGGACTGAGAGATGAGATATGCTGTCTCTTCACTGAAGAGCTATCTTAAATAAAGAGCTGGGTGCTTGGTCACAGTGAGCACCCAGTAATACTTGTTGAATGTTTAATGACTTATCTTTTAAGCAGTTACCTAGGGAATGAATTGGCTTACAGTTTTAAATGACTATAGGAGAAAAGCTTGGAGTCATAGTTAATTCTTATTGCAAATAGAAATAGACATTGAGAATTGTAATGGAAACAATGGAAGATCTCAATCCATTTTGGGCATTACTAAAATAAATTTAAAAACTTAAAGCCTTAACAGTTTCTCACCATGGAAAACAGTGACTCAAGCTTTGAAAAGATTTCATGATCAGTTAAGTTATAGAATATAGTAATTTCCCATGAATCAGTTCCAACAAATCACCAGTCCTTTTTTTGAAATCAAATGTAAATCAAGCAATTAAAGTAAAAGTATTAGTTAAGCTTGTGTTCACTTAATATGTCTCAATACCGAATCTTTGAAAGAGTGAGACAAGAGTATAGTGAGAAGGAAATGCAATCCGATGATACATACTTTTTTTTCCTCTGCTGACTGAAGGTTAAATGGGTAGCAAGCAGAATGCCTTAAACAAGATTGGTATATTGATTAAAACGCTGATTTACCAGCTCACAGTCTCCCCTTGGAAACCTGGAAAAGATAAGCCAGCTGCTGTCTAAGAGTGCTCGGTGTCCACTGAGAGTACACTATCCATCATCACAATATGGTGATGAGAGGTGTTTTATGTTTGTGTTAATTTCCCCCACTAACTCAGTAATTATTACAATCCTGTCCCTGCTGTTTACCCTGCAGCTGTTTTTCCATTTGTCGAGAGAACGGGTGTTCTCTGAGGACCGCACACGTTTCTATGGTGCAGAAATTGTCTCCGCTCTGGACTATCTACATTCCGGAAAGATTGTGTACCGTGATCTCAAGGTAAAAAAAAAAAAAAAAAGGTAATCAAAATTTGTTTTTGCAGAGACTGTAGGGACAAACACAAACTAATTACAAAGTTACACAATTTTGAGAAAAGCAGATTTAGTTGGGAAAAAAGCAACCTGTTTAAGAATGTGTGTCACTGCATTTGACGGGAAATTTCATTCACTGATATGTATGTAGTTAATTTATGTCTGAGTTTTTGATGTGCAAAATAATTTCTGCTCAACTGCTCTGATCAAATATGATCTACCAACAATAATTTCATTTTTTGATAAATGTTGTAATTAGAGAAATGTTGAACATCTGATTAAAAGTCGAGATGTAACTTTAAAAGTGATATTTTAAAACAATTAAGTTTCAATATTACATTCTAACATCCTGTAAGAAATATCATATGAAGAAACTTGTATAATAAATAAGACTATTTAGTTGGAAGGAAAATATTTTAATTTTGGTATAAACTTTTTGATGGGTTTAAAAATCGAAGTATTTTAATATAGCCTTCTATTGATTTATTTTGTCTTTTCGTTTAAAAAACACTGTATCTTTTAATCATTAATAGTGAATTGACTTCTCTAAATACCTTTCTGTTGAGACCCTTAAGGTTAGATAGTAAATATGCCTGTACAGTCTCTGTTACAACTGGTCAACTCTGACATTTGACTGTGAAAACAGCCCCAGACAGTATGTAAATGAATGAGTGTGGTTGTGTCCCAATAAAACTTTATTTACAAAAAATGGCAGTAGACTGGATTTGGCTCATGGGCTGTAGTTTGCTGAGCCCTGGCATAGTTCATAAAACGTAATAGTAATTCTCATGACACTTTTCTGAATAAGACTGGCTATAGTAAGGAAATTTATACCATGAGACATTTTGAAAAAAATCTAAATGTTACTTTCTTACTTTCTTAAAAAGTAAATCATGTAGTAATCTTGACCTATTAAAATTTAACACAGAATTTCTTTATTTATCAAGTATTAGTTCATTTAAAATATAATTTGATTTGCAAATAGAAGTTACACATAACTTTAATGAAATTCTATTTTATATAAAATGAGGTATATCTATATATTACTGTGTATAAAAAAATCACAATTTTCCCGTCATTCTCATCTTGCTCCTTTTTAATACATTTTAATTCTTAAAGTTGTCTAATTAAGCAGTTTTCTAGGTTATTTGGAGATGTTCTGTTCTATACCTTTAACTTATGAATCACCCCAAGAGTAACTAGCTCACAAGGTGTTATTTTACACTATGACTGTGAAATACGGTATGTATGTTTATACAACTTAGTATTATTAAAGTTTAAAAGAAAGTATATGATACTGTGTTTAAGCAAAAGTGAACTATGCAACTATAACACATCTAGATGGGGGGTGACCAACTGTCTAAGCGCCAAAGTGGACTAGACATGAATACAGATCAATAGGATGATTGTACTTACCACGAAGCTTTTTGTAACTAGGAATATTGGCAGACTTTGGCATCCCTGTATCAGATATCTGGATGGTCAAATAATCCTTTTATGTTTAAATGCCTTGAATCTACATATTTTTAAAAGAAATTAGGTACATGGCACAGTAAAACGTGTATTGAATTTTCAAATATAATAGAAATAGCTGTTCTCTGCTTGAGCCCACCTTCCGAGTCCCACTTTGTGTTTTATGAATCCTATTTTCTGGGAGGAAGGATAGGATAGGAAGCCTGGATTAAGGAAATGAGAATAATTTTGAAGTACTCAGTAACAGATTTAGAATGTTTAAAACTGGAAGGTAGGATTATTAATCTAAAGAAACAAAAAGAATAGAGTGCTCATTTGATTTCCAGCATAGATTAAGGAGTGATATAATTGAGATGGTTTCAGTCAATATTCTCCATTAATCAGTTCTTATTAAATGAATCAACATTTGCTTAGTGTATTGAAGGTTATTAAATATGAGTTTCTTTCCCCTCTCCTTTCTGATAATGGAATTAGATTAAATGTATTAAACTGCAATAGAAAGTACCTACTTTATTTATGAATGCAGTCATATAGTTGCTGTATGCATAGACCACTAACCTTTACTAGACAATTATGTGACCTCTTTAAGTTTGCTTTTTTAAAAAATATAGCTTTAACTTAAAGGTCTAAGTAAACGTACAGCACAGTACAGAAATCATATGAATATACACCAAAAAAATGCATATATACAGTAATGTAATAAGTAACATAATAAGCCAAATACTTAAAATTTGTACAAGTGTCATTTTATCCATAGTGCATAGGATTATGCATAACAGAATGAGGTCCTTTAGGTCAAATCGTAGAAATTTAGAGCTGGTCCATATTTTACAGGTGAGAAAATTGAAGTCTAGAAGTCTAATCGGTGGCTTACTCGAAGTACTGGACCAAGTTGGTGGCACAGTCAAGATTATTGAAACCCATGAATCCTAGCTCCGGGTCTAGTGCTCTTTCCATGACATCATTCTCTCATTCTAGAGTCTAAATAAAATCTAGATGGGAGAATGCACTGAATTAACTCTGAGAGACTTTTGTAAACCTAAAATTCTAATAAGGCTTTTGAAGATAAAAGGATGAAGGTTTCAAATATATTTATCCCATTTGTATTTTAAAAAAACCATCCAAAACTGGTTTAGGGTCCCACTTTGATTGAGATCAGTCTCAGATTTATATCTGTTTCTAAGGTGTCATTATTAATTACTTTGTTTTTAGTCAAATGCAAATCCATTTGAGATGCCAGTGGTAGCTGTGCTTCACAAGTACATTGGTACCTTATGCTGCTGCCCAATTACCATTGGAGGCCAAGCCTTTTCTCATATGCATGTTAATTTAAAACAGTTTACATATTATCAGTTAACATATCATGATAACTTGGTATTCATAGGAAGAAATAAATTTTTAAAGCCTTTGTTGTACTTTAGAAAGTAAATTTGCTTAATTTATCAGTGCAGGACATGATATAAAACTTTATTTTTTTAAGGTCCCAACTTCCTTGAAGATTACTTAGGAAAAACTGGTATTGCTTCATGATAGCATGGTGATTTTAAGAAATCTTTTCTAAGACTTCTTCAATAATGTAAATTATAGTTTAAAATCTTTTTTTTTCTTCTGCTCAGTTTTTATTTTGCAAGTAGTTCCCGTATTTAAAATGCCATCTCTATCCAAGTACAGGATAGGCTGAACAAGAACATTTGCAAAGATTCGTATAATGGTACTAGAATTCATTAAGAATTCATTTCTCCAAGAGTTTATGAGAGGAAAGAGAGTAATGCATAAATTGCTGCTGAACTCTACTTGTTGAGCATCTCACCTTGTTTTGTATCTAATCATGGAGTATTTAACCATTTACTTTATTGATGTGAGAAACCACCAAGTAGATTTAGAGAATTTCCAAGTGGTGGCACAAAGCAGCCCTGGTGGCGTAGTGATTAAGTGCTTGGCCGCTAATCTAACAGTGGTTTGAACCCACCAGCCGCTTGAGGAATATGTGGCAGTCTGCTTGCATAAAGATTACAGCCTTGGAAACCCTAGGAGGCAGTTCTGCTCTGCCCTGTAGGGTCACTGTGGGTTGTAATCAACTCGATGGCAACAGGTTATGGCACAAAGAGTTGGCTTCAGAATTGCACCCTCCTTCATCAGCTCCCTGAAATCCACCCCAAATAAATGTACAGTCTAAATGGAAACAGTATACTTAGTCTCAAGATACACCCTAACTCCCACTTCGAACTGGACAGTTACCTTGATTTCCTCCTTTATAGAAATTTTAAGCCTCTGCTATTAAGAACCCCGTCCACCTCTAAAATCAAATTGTACGATTGGGCTACGTCCCTTATTTGTAGTGAATTGTTAAATAATTTGACAAGTGTCCACTACTGTACATTATGGATCCTTCCTAGGTTAGGAGAGTTGAAAGTGAGGAAGTGTTTTCCTTTCATTATTTGATGCCTTATACCTCAGTCTGCAGTGTACAGCGGAGATCCTTACTGCCTTCATGGGCCTGAGGCGGTCCTGGTACCCATAATTGAGTTTGATGTATCTGTGCTAAAATGGGAGTTAGGAGTGCATAAAGGGAGTTATTTACTGATACTGCTGCAGCAGTCATTAGAGCCTCTGTTGTTGTTAGGTGCTCTTGAGTTGGTTCCAACTCATAGTGACCCTGTGTACAACAGAATGAAATGCTGCTTGGTCCTGTGCCATCCGCACAATCATTGTTATGTTTGAGCCCATTGTTGCAACAACTGTGTCAGTCCAGCTCATTGAGGGGCTTCCTCTTTTTCGCAGTTCTAGTCTGTCCTATAGGGTGACTGTAAGTCAGAATCGAATCCACGGCAATGGGTCTTTTTTTGTTTTTACCCCCAGAGCCTTTAGGAGCTGCTAGTTTCATTTCTTTGTTTAATCACAATGTCAGCCATTTAAATAAAAGGATACCTAAAAATTATACATGTAATGTTTTTGGTTTTAGACTTCTGATAACTAGCCTGGCATATAGTAGAACAGAGCTTCTCAGCCTGTGTGCCACAAATGGGTTACAGGTGTGCCCAAGATATAGCCTTCCTCAGCCTGCAAGGTGGTAAGGGCAGCCTCGAGTGGCTTGTCCATGTACCCTTGAGTGCTCTACAGATTTCCTTTTCTACTGTGCTGTGAAGGGGGAAAGGTGGGAAGCAGTGTGCTGAACACAGCTAGTGTTTGTAGAGTTTTAACTTCATTCTGTGTGCCAGCAAGAGCAGAAAGGAGCATAGTACTTTCTTGTCTTTATTTCTTGTTCCCAACACACAAGAAAGCACAGAGGAAAAAAGATTTCAAAATCTACCGCTTCCTCAAATAAACAGTGAATCAAGACCATCTATCAAATAATGCCTGTTTATTTCAACTGGCTAAAAACATGTTGCCCTTTTTTTTTTTTGCTTAAATTCTGTGAGGCTTACGTCTAATTTTTTTTTCTCTTCTCAAAAGCATGAACTGTTAGATGACAACCCTCTAACTGGTACAAATAGCAGGCATTACCCGGGTTTTTAATATAGAGCCTTGTCTCTTATAACTACCTATTTGACTCCATCATTGCTTTTGCAAGTCAGCGTATTAGGCATAAACACACTGCCCTGCTCTCCAGACTGACAGTGGAGAGAGAACAGATCCAGTTAAAGTTTCATAAATAGAGAGCACCTGAGCAGTTAGGGATGGTATTCATTTTGCATTTCACAGCTAACGAAGGAAGGATAACCATGAGATTTAGAAGGGAGAACAGAAGAAAGATCATTTATAATTTTTTTTTCTCCTTTAGACAGTAGAAGGGTTCCTAAAATATATGACTAAATACTCTTTATATCAATATTACATGCACCAAGGAAGTCATTTCCAGGTTTTTTAAATTATGGTAAAATATGCTAAACTTAAAATTTGGCATTTTAACCGTTTTCAAGTGTACAATCCAGCGGCATTAATTACACTCACAATGTTGTGCGGCCATCGACACAGGTGCTTATCTAGCCCATGGGTCTGCTTAGTTGCCCTCTGATTTATCTTTATAATAGTTAATAGGAATTTTGCAGATACCTTTTTTTGAGGTGACACATCTCTGTTCATACTTTTGATGGACAAGTTATTGTCAACCATGCTCAGCAAATAACATTCTAGGGTGATGAGACAAGCAAAATAATTGATGGAAGATATTTATAAAATTATAAAATACCTGACTTGAAAATTATGAACTATTTAGAAGTTTTATTATTTTACTCAGAAGAAATTATTGCATACTGAAAAGCATTTTTAATGAATTCAGTGAACTGACAAAAGTGTTTTTTCGGAGTCCATTCTGGAACTTTGTTCTTTCCTTTAAAATACTGTGTTGTCTAGAAGAGCACAGACTGTTTCGATAACTTCTGAATCAGCCATTAAACGCTTCATGTTTAAAAATGATCAATCACAATAGTTTCTTTTATTGAATGTTTACTGTGTGTCAAGTTCTGCATCCAGTATCTCATGTCATTTTGAAAACTCTGTTACATCTGTTTTATAGATGATGACATTGAGGCATATAGAAATTAATAATCACCATTGTCACACCATTAGTAGGGGGTAAAGCTGGGGTTTAAAGTCTAGCTCCTTGACTTGACTTACCCGTTTGTCACACCCCTTTGTGTGAGGCTCAGAAATAAGAAATGAGGGTAAACGATTAATGGGAGTCAGGTTTTTTGGGGTTTTTTTTTAAATAGATACTGCTTGTATTAAAAATGCTGCTTATACATTTTGATACTTCTGTATCCTAGCCACTTGAAAATGGCTGTGTCAAAATGTGGAGAAGTAGTGCAGGAACCGTATTTCTGTGAATACTTTCCCCTGCACATGAAGAGGGCTGGCAGAGCATGTACCAACCTGGATGAGAATGAGAAAGAAATGGTGGCCATAGTCAGATTTTATTCAGTCGCACTATTATTTAAAGGTTTTATAAAAATGTTTATGTATTTTATGTGAGTTAAAGAGATTTATTGAATATTTTTAAAGATCTTACAATGTTTTAAAAATTAAATTGTTTTGTCTGTATAATTTTAATATATTAAAACAGTAATCGACATTTAAATAATTAAGAATAGGGCATATATATTTTTATTCAACAAAACAACAATCTCCGGTATATAATTCTTTTTCCCATTGCAGCAAGTTAGGGAAGGAAGGAAGAAGAAAATGTTGTTCGAAAGAGAAGGGAAAAATGGGAAAAAACTAGAGGCGGACAGAGATTATGAGGAAGCAAAAGACAGACGAAGGCAAAGAGAAAGAAATAGTAGGTAGGAAGAAAGGGAAGTAGACAGACTCTTTCTCGATGTTTCTGATAGTTTTCACTATTAAAGACTTATTTTCATTCCTGCGAGTTAGGCTTGATTTCTGGATTCCAGTTAGAAGAAAAGCATAAAGAAGATGGAAGACATCTTTGTTTGTATAAAATAAGAGGACTTTTCTTTTTAAAGGTTCAAGAATATATTTAGGGTTCATTCAGCTTTCTGTAGACAAATTGAAAGCTGATTTCTTTGACGTATGCTGTACATGTACCATTTATTGAGCATTTAGTTCATTAGGGTAGCATATTTAAGCACTTTACAGAAGGACTTTTGTGCTTTCTAATCTTTCCTTCAGTGGACATAACTTGCTTAACTATTTAGTTTCTGGTTTAAAAGGTATTTAATAATATCACAATCATTTTCTATGATTGGTTTCTGTTTATGTTCTGATGTGGAGTTTTGTTTTTAATTTGATGTTGACTTCGGAGTTCAGGTAAGACCTTTAAATGTCATCATATTAAGGAGTAGATTAAGTACTCCTTAAATAAGGTAATTTTCGTTCATCCTGATAAAGTTTTTTCCACATATGTATTTCTTGTGTATGATAAAAGAAGTCCCTATCTGAAGTACCTTTGGGTTGTATCTACATGATTGGGCCAAGTTAGGGTGCCCCATCTATGTAAGGCTGTAGAATCACAAATAGAAGTCATATGTATCTCTGTTTTATGGTAATTATAACTTTGGGTTCAGATATTGTTGTTATTTTTAATGGTGCTGGCTTTGCACAAGCTGCCTCTCCCCTTGCATATCCTGATTTTCATTTACTACAGATGATCTTGCTACTTGGCTAAATCTCGGATATAGCATTCTCTTAGGTGTTCTTGAATTAATGTATTCAAAGAGATTCTAACACTTGTGTTATATATTTATTTTAACTGTTGAATGTTTGACTTTGGTATTCTTTTTCTTTTTATGTTTAAAAGGGTTGGTATTTCTTTATTACAAAGAACTGCAAAAGAGGATATCGCCTTACCTTACAAAATAAGATTTAGGTTTGATTTACAACTACCACCAAAAAAACATTTCTGTAAGTGAATATTTTCTAATAGCAATAGATTCCCAAGAGAAATTTTTGAGAGCCATCTTTATATATCTAGAAGATGCTCATCTCTCTGGGATTGTTTAGATCACATTCTGTTTTAAGAAGAAGAAAGAAAAAAAAAGAGGATTGCTGTTTGCTTTGAAAAATTGATTTAGGCTTTGGTTACTTACACATAATAGCTCTTAAAACATAGCCCTCTTTTCCATTGGTTTAAAAATGAATCATTTTATCATTATGAAATATATGATAAAACATGGTTCTTTTCACACAAAGTTAGGAACCTACAGGGTTTGTAAGTACTGAAGATTTTATTAACTACAGCTATGTCCTCTTTCCGAAATACCTTACTCAGCATTCAGTCATTTTCGAAACAATATTTTCCTGTTGTTGAAGACTATAGAACATATTATGTCATTTTTCTTAATACACAGTTGGAGAATTTGATGCTGGATAAAGATGGCCACATAAAAATTACAGATTTTGGACTTTGCAAGGAAGGAATCACAGATGCAGCCACCATGAAGACATTCTGTGGTACACCAGAATATCTGGCACCAGAGGTAGGCTTTAGTCCCATTCAAAGGAAAAATTACTGTTGACATCATGTTTTGCAAAGTAAACCAGTTACACATTTAAAAAACTGCATTACCATGTAGAAATTTTTGAAATGGTGTATCTTTGGCAATGTGTATTTTCACACACACACAAAAAAAAACGAGGTTGAGAAGTTAGAGGGTTGATACGTTGTGGGGTTGTTAAGCAATGTCATAAAATACCGTGTACTTCTGTTTCATGAGAAACTATTTGTTCTGTAAGCCTTCACCTGAAGTACAATAAAAAAATAAAAATAAAAAATTGCATTACCTACTGCTTTTACCTGGATTTCAACCTGGATCAAATTTATTTTTTCCTACTTGTTTAATGTGGAATTGCAGGGGTAAGAATATATAGATGTTAATTCTTACAAACTTTGTAAGCACAAAGTTACTACTAAAGTAAGTCAGTTTTTATTTCTTGGCCATATACATTTTATTTGCTGGTCATGCTCATTTTGATTCATTTATTAAAACAATAATGGAATGACTTCAACAAGAATGTTTACAGTTTTATAAACCGATTTTCGACTCTCCTTAGAAACAAAGAAACAGCGACTGAGTCTGTAGTATTGTATGCTTTGGTACTTAATTATAGGAAGTTATTTCACTGGGAGAGTTAATGGAATGAAAGTAGCTACATTTTGGACCTCACGTCAAGGGAAGCTCCAACCAGATGGCCTTCCCATGCTGAGGGTTCTGCAATAATTCGTTAATTTGTTTATTCATGACGTATTTTTTGTGCATCTACTATGTATTTGCTATTATTCTGGTAATGTGGTTACAGGAACAAGACAGAAGAGAACCTTGCTCTCCGGGAACTGACTTCTAATGGAGGGAGACAGAATAAAAATAAATATCTAACAATGTTATATAATGAATCAGTACTGTGAAGGAAAAAAAAAGCACAAGATAATGGGAAGGCTGTGGTGTGGTGGCTCAGTTAGAGAGTGTCCCAGTTACCGTTGCTGTGTAACAAACCACCCCTAAACTTAGTGGTGAAAAACAACCATTTTATTCTGATCGTGGATTCTGTGTGTCAGAAATGTGGACAGGCGACAGCAGGGATGGCTTAGCTCTGCTCTACAGTCTATGGAGCCTCCACCAGAAAGACCAAAGGGTGACTCTGGCTGCAGGTCGGAACATCTGGAAGCATCTTCACTCATATGTATGACAATTAATGCTGGCTGTCAGTGGGACTTTCACGGGACTGACAGGAGTGCCAACACAGCCCCTCCACGTGGCCTGGGCTTCCTCGAGTAGCCTACTTTCTCAGAGTATTCAGACTCCTTGGCTCTGGGCTCTGAAAAACAAATGTCCCAGGGAGCAAGGCGGAAGCTACATCACCTTTTTTTTTTTTTTCTTTTTTCCCACTTAGTAAACCTAATAACCCATCAGAAAATGTTTCATTAATTTTAATAGTAAATATTTATAATAACTTTATAGTTTTTAAGGCATAAAATTCAGTGGCTTTTAGTATGTTCATAGAGTTGTGCAGCCATCACCACTAATTCAAGAATATTTTTATCCCCCCTAAAAAAAGAAATCCCATACCCCTTAGCAGTCAGTCCCCAATTTTTCCTGCCTCCAGACCCTGGCAACCACTAATCTATTTTCTGTTTCTGTGAATTTGCCGTTTGTGGACATTTCATATAAATGGAATCATATAATACGTAGCCTTTGTGCCTGATGTCTTTTACTTAGCATAATGTTTTCCAGGTTCATCCATGTTTTAGCATATTATTAGTACTTCATTCCTTTTTATGGCCAAATAATATTTTGTTGCATGATATACCACATTTTGTTTTGTCCATTCATCGTTGCTGGACATTTGGGTTGTCTCCTTTTTTTGGCTATTGTGAATAATGCTTCTGTGAACATTCATGTATTGCATCTTTTTTTATGGCCTGGTTTCAGAAGTCATACAACTTTTTCATCACATACTCATTGGTTGAAGCAGTCCTAAGCCCATACAGGTTGAAAAGGTAGAGACAGAGACCCCATCTGTCTATTGTAGAAGGGCATGTGGGATGGGAGATATTGTTGCAGCCATCTCTGGAAAAGAAAGTCTTCCATAGATAGGTATTCAGAGAAAGTAATGTTTGGCCAGAGATCTAAATGAAAAGAAGGAGGTAGCTGATGCAAAGATAGGAAGCAGCTAGTATTAAAAACCCTGAGGCTCAGTTTTTCTCACAAAATCCAAGGTTAGTATGGCTAGCACCAAATAACCAGCCAAACCAAATCCATTGCCGTTGAGTCGATTCCTCCTTATAGCAAATGTATAGGACAGAGTAGAACAGCCCCATAGGGTTTCCAAGGAGCGGCTGATGGAGTTGAACTTTTGGTTAGCAGCTGAGCTCTTAACCACTGCGCCACCAGAGCTTAGGAGTCATTGATCTTTGATGAGTGAGGGTTACTATTTATTGAACATCTACTGTGGATCACATGCAAATATAAGTGCACTGCATCTGTTAACTCATTGAATATTCAGAATAATCTTTTGTGATAGATTGCAAACCTGGTATTTTTAAAGATGAGGGATCTGAGGATCAGAATTTTTTTTACCTAATCTGTATGATCTACACAGCTAGGAGGTAGCGGAGGTAGAATTAGGATTCTAACTAGGTCCCTCTGACTCTAAAGCCCACTTTTACTTTTTAAACTACATCATGGCCAAAAAGTAACAGTTTTAAGGCTACTTACAGATACAAAATAGTTGTAATTTTTAAAATGAGTATTTCATAAATGCCCAACAGGAAAAGATAATCAGAAGAAATTAGGAAGAACAAATTCACAGTGATACTAGCATTCGTTATATACATAGTAACTCATGCCTATTTATTATTGTGATAGTTCTTTTCAAATTAGGACCAAATTTACATCTCAAAACTGTTGAGTTATTGAAAATAATTGCTAATATTTGCTATACAGTAAATTTCTAACCATTACTTTCTCAAAGGCTGCCAAAAATATCACGTTCTCTGTTACAAAATCTACAGGAGGTTAAAATTCTCAATTTTTGTGCCTGAATTAGGTAAAATTTTAGAAACACTGTTTCTTGTTTATTTAAATACAAGATCATATTTTCTAGAATAAGATTGTTTTTGTGAGTGTCATGAAAAACAAATTCTTTGTTTCTCTGGAGTACAGTTACCCCTGCTATACATTTTCCATGGATGATGATATCCCATATTTAGAATAACAAAATTAGTTGTGTCACAATTAGGGAGAATTTTTTCTGAAGAAGATAAATACATCTCATTTCAGAAGCAGATGATCTCCTAAGAAACAAAGATTCTGTTTTCTATGCAAATGTCACCAACTGAAGAACAAAACCAGGAATTTAATGCAAGAAGAGTCTAATTGTGTCTCAGTAGAAAGTTTACAGTTCACAAGAAATTATCAATTTGTTTTCAAAGACAAGTAAGAAAACAGTTCTGTATACTTTTTTTTTTAATATTTCAAAAGTCTGGCCTTTAAAAATAGATTATATACCTGTGGTTGATACATGTTGAATAATGTATTAAAATCAGGACACCTTATTTTTATAGGGGAGAGTGATTTCTGTAGTTACTATTTGAGGAAGACAACTCTTGAAACAGCTCCCTTCTTATGCAATTTTAATTCTTATTATTATATTCTAAGAATTTACATCACATACTGCATTTTTGTTAAATCAGTGTAACTTTGAATGTGTTTACCCTCCCTTTTAAAAACAAGAATTTAACTCCTTCATCTGTTTTCCAGTATGGACCATTTCATTGTACAATGTTCATTCATTCATTCATTCAAGAAGGATTTATTGAATATTTACTAGTTTCAGGCATTATATTAGACGCTGGGAATCAGTGGCGTCACTAGGGTTGGTGTCGCCCAGTGTGGTAATTCATGGTGTCACCCCCTCATGCTAATTACCACAATATTGTAGCTAAAACACCAGAAAATTTGACAAAATCAGCGACTAAAAACACTGGCAGCAACAAAAAACACCAGCGCGTGCTTGTAGCGTGTGCAAACAAAACCATGTGATTTGAAGGGTTACTGTAACTGGGTAATGACAGCTCTGACCAGAACGCATTACAACATTCCAAAAGTAAATTAGCATGGAGTTGTGGCCTGGTAGGTGTATTGACATGTGTAAGCTGGGCTTACAAAAATTTGTTTTGTTATTATAACTAACTACAGGGATATTTTTATTAAAAAATAATAAATTTCTGCTGAAACACTGCATAGAAATTTTATAGATAGTCATTTCGGCGTCACCCCCTCTGACAGTGGCCCCCGATGCAGTCCACATCCTTTGCACCCTGCTACTGACACCACTGCTGGGAATACAAAAATAGTAAGAAATATTTTTTGCCCTTATGTAGCTTGCTGCTTACCAAGATGATAAGATATGTGAAATAATTTTACTGGGCAAGAAGGTAATTGTTTTACTGGAATATATATGTATACTAGTGTCGTGGAAGGAAAAGAAATGTGCTTAGGCTGTTGGGAGGGTCAGTTGGCAGCAAAGAGGAAGCAGGAAGAGAGGAGGGTGGGCCCACTGGTAGTGATTAGAATGTGAGGAGTTTATATTTGATCCTGTGGGTGAGGGAGATGTACCCTTCAATTGAGAGCAAGGCAATAATGTGATGAAATGTACATGGTCGGTGTTAGAGAGGGATTGGCAAGAGCTGAAACTAGTCTCGTCCCTTACTTCAGATGGTGTATTTTGAACTTGGAAATTTCTAGTATATGCCATTTTATTAATGCCAGCCACTTCTTGATAGTAATATAAGTAATCGTTTATCAGACCTGAAATACATTCTTGAGTACTGCTTATCTTAGAAATGACTCACTGTCAGTATTTTCCCTTCTCCGGTTCTTGTATAAGACTTGTTTACTCATTATGTAGAGATCTTTGCTGCAACCTTTACTTCACCTATACTTCAATGATCATCCTTTACCTTTTAAATTGTTTTAGT